CCACCTTAGGTGTACGTGGCTGGCGCCTTAGCCGGTTGAGCTATAGGCGCTGAGCCAGAATAAATAATTTCAATACCATATGAAATGATAAGGAAACACTAAAAAATAAGTCTAAGAAGGCCTAACAAAGACAGTAACATTTCAATTGACTCTTGAAGGCTGAGTGGGACTTTGAGAAAAGAAAGGAATACTCCATCTATGGAAAACCACCCATACAAAGGCAGATTCAAAGAAAGAATCTGACCTCTTTGGGGGAATAATGAGCATTCAGTATGGCTGAAGTAGAGGTCTACAATAGGCCAGGTAAGGATTATGCAGTATTATGTTGGCAATGAAGAGCCACTGAAAGTTCTGTAAGTAGCAATGTAATGTGGTTTGCTTCCTGTTTTAGGGAAAAACTCCCTTTTGTAATACTTACTCATTATCCTCTTCACCCAGTCTTGCTCTTTTAGCCAAATGTTCATTTTCTAATTCTGTTAGATTCTTAAATTCTTTCTCACTACTAATGATGCTAAATACTGAAACAAAAAGAAAAATGCCATGAGCTAAAATAATTCTTTCTGTAACTTTACTGATAATTTAACACTAACACTAAAAGACTCACCTTTTTCTACCTGAATCCTAAAAGCATTTCTTTTTCTTCGACCATAATCTATACTAAAAAAAAAATAACAAGAAGTTTAATAGTAGTCTCCACCAATATTCTCCATTAAGCTCACTCTAAAAAGATCAAATAAAATTGCATGAATATTTCATTATGTCATTGTAATCAAAGTGGCCATAAACCTATTTTCAAAAACTATTTTTTTTATTTTACCATCTTTTCTTCCAGTCTTATACCAGAGAATAGGTAAGCTTATGAAAGTTCTATCAACACAGTGACAGATTCTATTCAAAAGGAAAATAATCATACACCCAAGTTGCTGTGAGCTATGATGCCACAGTACTCTAGTGGGGGTGACAAAGTGAGACTCTGTCTCAAAAAATAAATAAAATAAAATAAAATTTCAGATCAATATGAGGATACAAACAATTCGGTTACAATGTTTGCATTTGTTAGGTAAGGTCCATCAACTATTTTTTTAAAAAGACAAAGGTTCTCAGGTGCTGCCTGTGGCTCAAAAGGGTAGGGCGCTGGCCCCATATGCTGAAGGTGGCGGGTTCAATGGTAGTGGCTCATGCTTATAATCCAATCACTATGGGAGACCAAGGTGGGGATGGGCGGAGATCACCCTCAGGAGTTGGAGACCAGCCTGAGTTAAGAGTGATACCATGTCTCTACTTTTTCTTTTTTTAGCGATAGAGTCTCACTTCGTTGCCCTCAGTAGAGTGCCATGGTGTCACAGCTCACAGCAACCTCCAACTCTTGGACTTAGGAGATTCTCTTGCCTCAGCCTCCCAAGTAGCTGGGACTACAGGCACCTGTCACAATGCCTTACTATTTTTTTACTTCAGTTTGGCCAGGGCCAGGTTTGCACCCACCACCTTCAGTATATGGGACGGGTGCCCTACTCCCTGAGCCACAGGCGCTGCCCCATGTCTCTATTAAAGGTAGAAAAATTAGCCGAAGTATTGTAGTTGGGCTGTATAGTCCCAACTACTGAAGAGGCTGAGACAGGAGGATTGCTTACAACTAGGAGTTTGAGGTTGCTGTGAGCTAGGCTGATGCCAAGGTGCTCTAGCCTGGGCAACAGAATGAGACAATGTCTTAAACAACAAAAAAAGCCCCCAAAGATAAGATCTCACTCTATTGCCCAGGCTGGAGGGCAATGGTCTGATCATAGCTTACTGAAGCCTGAGCTTAAGTGATTTTCCAGCCTCAGCCACCTCCCAAGTAGCTGGGACTACAGGCATGCACCAATATACTTGACTAATTTTTTTACAGAGATGGGGCTCTCACTAGGTTGCCCAGGCTGGTCTGGAACTCCGCAGGCAAGCCTCCTGCTTTGACCTCCCAAAGTGCTGGGATTACAGGTGTGCCACCATGCCCTGCCTATCTTGCCTTTAAATTAAGATTTAAAAATATAAGGATCTGTTTCTTATAGACCTATCACTGGCACACATTTTAAAATCTGCCTATCAGAATCAAACCTTGTTTTAATGTGAATGACAATACCAAAGAAAAAACCTCCTCTCCACATCGAAATTAGTATCATTGACCCTAATCCCTTTGAGCTTTAACTTTTAAAAAAACACAAATTAGGCTCTGCACCTGTAGCTCAGTGAGTAGGGCACCAGCCACATACACTGAAGGTGGAGGGTTTGAGCCCAGTTCAAGTCTGGGCCTGCTAAACAGCAATGACAACTGCAACCAAAAAAATTTTTAAAAAAGGCCAGGTGTTGGCTCGGTGCCTGTGGCTCAAGTGGCTAAGGCACCAGCCACATACACCTAAGGTGGCGAGTTCGAATCCAGCCTGGACCCACCAAAAAACAACAATGACGGCTGCAACCAAAAAATAGCCAGGCGTTGTGGTGGGTGCCTGTAGTCCCAGCTACTTGGGAGGCTGAGGCAGGAGACTCCCTTGAGCCCAGGAGTTGGAGGTTGCTATGAGCTGTGATGCCATAGCACTCTACCCAGGGGGATAGCTTGAGGCTCTATCTCAAAAAAAAACAAAGGCCAAGTGTTATGGCAGGTGCCTGTGGTCACAGCTACTTGGGAGGCTGAGACAAGAGAATTGCTGGAGTCTAAGAGCTTGAGGTTGCTGTGAGCTATGATGCTACAGCACTCTACCAAGAGTGACATAGTAAAACTCTGTCTCAAAAAAAAAAATCACAAATCAACTTTGCAGGGATGATTCCTGCTGGTTCAGCAAATTTTAAATTACAAAGTATTCAGAGTAGGTATGTCTAATTTCAGAACAATGCAAATTATCTAGTAAATCTAAAAAACAGAATTAAGGGGAAGGAAATGAAAATGCTATCGGAAAACTTGACAAAGTGAAAGCACAGAAGTATGTTAACAAATGACTGCTTTGAATGCTGTCTCCAAAACCACTGTGCTATCTTGTCTTCTAGGGTAGCATAAGAACTATTTCCTCATAAACCCTTCCATAAGCCTCCCCGACCCCAGTCCCAAAATATAATTAATCTAGTCCTCTCTCATAGAATTTCACCTATTTATTTATTTCATTTATTTATTTATTTATTTTTTGAGTCAGAGTCTCACTATGTCACCTTGGGTAGAGTGCATCACTGCTAATAGCAACCTCAAACTCTTGGGCTTAAGTGATTCTCCTGCCTGAGCCTCCCAAGTAACTGGGACTATAGGCACCCACCACAATGCCCTGCTATTTTTTTTTTTGTATTTGTCATTGTTGTTTTACCAGGTACAGGCAGGGTTTCGAACCCACCAGCCTCAGTGCATGTGGCCAGCACCCTAACCACTGACCTATGGGTAGTGAGCCAGAATTTTACTTTTATAGAAGAGATAATTAGGGGAGTGACTGTGGCTCAGTAGGTAGGGCGCCGGGGCCATATACCAAGAGTGGTGGGTTCTAACCTGGCCCTGGCCAAACAGCAACAAAAAATGGTCCTACCTACTTGGGAGGCTGAGGCAAGAGAATCACCTAAGCCCAGGAGTTGGAGGCTGCTGTGAGCTGTGACACCATGGCACTCTACCATGGGCAATAAAGTGAGACTCTGTCTCCAAAAAAAGAGAGATAATTAAGCTGTCTGGGACCAACAGTCATTTATTTATTCAGTCACTCATTCACTCGATTCTTTCAACTCACTCAATGACACTAAATGAGATCTGTCCAAGAGCTAGGACCCAAAGATGAGTGAGAGATGCTATTCAGGTAGTACTGGAGACAGACACAAACACATATTACGGTTAAGTGCAATGGGGGATATGGTGTGTATGTGTGTTTATTTGATGTGTATGTATATACATAAATATGTACATGCACAGCCTAGACAAAAGAATATGGACTTAAATGTATTTATATAGAGACTTTTGTTTGTTTTTCGTACAGAGGAGAAAGAGAAAGGGGATTCCAGGAAGAGATAACAACATGAACTAACTCAAAGTAGAAACAACATAGTACACATGTGTGTATGTGACAGAGAGGGAGAGAGACATAGATTATTAAGTGCTATTAAGTTACTGGCACAAGTATTACAAGACAAGAAGATAGGAGCTTAAAGACCAGATCCTGGAGTCTTAAAGACCTGATCCTGTGGCCTTTAAGCCACACTGCAAGGTAGAATTCACACTGGAAAGCAACTGAAAAATCACTGGTACAGAAAAGGCAAACGTAAGCATTAAATGCTTATAAAATACAGAGACAGAACGGTCAAATATGCACTTTAGATAGATTTATCTTGCTTTGGCAAAGATGGGCTAGAAGAGTGGTTTTTAGTGAAGATGGTAACATCCCTTGGGGGCATTTTGAAAACTTGAGGGGCAATTTTGTGTCATCATAATGACTGCAGAGCATTATGGAGATTTAGTGGGTTAACAACTACAGATAATGGATATTCAATGCACTGAGCAATTTCACCTAAAGAAAATCTGCCCTTCCGCAGGACTTTCAAATGCCTACAACAGGTTCACAAGGCCTGTTCTTCCTTACTTAAGCTAGAACCTGTCTGAGAAGGCATATGTAAAACCTGTTTTGTGTAGTTTTAAAACACACTTTTTTTTTTTTTTTTCTGAGACAGAGTCTCTCACTTTCTTGTCCTCCATAGAGTGCTGTAGTGTCACGGCTCACAGCAACTTCAAACTCTTGGGCTCAAATGATCCTCTTGCCTAGGCCTCCCAAGTAGTCACTATAGGTGTCTGCCATAACAACCACTTAATTTTTTTTTCTTAGATATGGGGTCTTGCTCTGGCTCAGACTGGTCTCGAACTCCTGTGCTCAAGCAATCTACCTGCCTCAGCCTTCCAGAGTGCTAGAATTACAGGCATGAGCCACTGTGCCTGGCCCAGAAACTAAATTTTTTAGTAATGTAATTACTTTATAGAATGAAAGAGTTCACTGCCTTTTTTGTTTTCACTGAAATAACTAATAAACATTGTGTTGTGGTATCTGAGAGACATATCAACAGAACATCTCTATAGCAGTCTGTACTTATAAGTCTCATATTCACACGTATTCTATAAATCTTACAATCTTTTTTTTTTTTTTTGTAGAGACAGTCTCACTTTATTGCCCTCCATAGAGTCACACAGCTCACAGCAACCTCCAGCTCCTGGGCTTAAGCAATTCTCTTGCCTCAGCCTCACAAGTAGCTGAAAATACAGGTGCCCACCACAATGCCCACCTATTTTTTTGTTGCAGTTTGGCCAGAGTTGGGTTTGAACCCACCACGCTTGGTACATGGAGCTGGCGCCCTACCAGCTGAGCCACAGGCACCGCCCCAGTTGCAATCTTCTGACTGACATTATTATGTCTTCTATTGTCTGATTAGACTTGAGGCTAATCAACTAATTATAGCAAGGGTCCACAATTCTTTTCTGTAAAAGGGCCAGATAGTAAATACTTAAGCTTCATGGGCCACATTATAACTACTCAACTCTATCTCTATAACATGAAAGAAGGCACAGAAAATATGTAAGGGTTGGACGCAGAGGCTCACGTCTATAATCCTAGCACCCTGAGAGGCCAAGGTAGGTGGCCCCTTGAATTTAGGAGTTAGAGACCAGAGCAAGAGGGA